GAGGGGGGTCCCCCGATGGCTTCCCTCCATCCTTCTCTCTCCTCAGATTGATTCTCCCCAACCAGAGTCTGGTGCCAGCAGTGTCGATCATGAATGCAGCGGGAGATGCGGTTTCCCACATCCAGCCCAAGATCTCTCCTTCTCTGAGCAGGAGTCCCTGGGACGGCCCGGGGGGTGTGCACGTGAGCGTTTATACAGGTTTCTCAGCTGGGGGCTCTGCTGTCCCCGGGCTTGCACCCAGGGGAACCCAGAGTGGCTTTCCTATCACGACCACATTCCTTCCCACTTCAGGGCAATAAATCTTATTTCTTAATAGTGCATGGGTTGTCATTTCAAATCCAACACGTAACCTGAACACGGCTTGCCCTTGTTAGGGAGGGAAATGGGGAAACCCCTAACTCCTCCCCGACTCCTGTTCCCTGGTCTCAGCACCATATGATAGCTTTCACTCCTATCAGTTTGTGCAAAACACTTGAAAAATGAGGGCAGAGCTACTTTCTGATAATCTGCTCACAAAATGGTGGAGGAAGCTGATTGTAAATTTTTTTTTTCATTTTACTGGTTGTGAAAATGTTTATGGCTAGTAGAGGCTGCCTTGAGAAATATGTAACATTTCATAAAAAAATTCATTTTTTAAAAAGATTTATTTATTTTACATAATATTAGATGATATTTCACTATGCTTTCTTCCATTTGTGTTATTGTTTTCCTTTCACATTTAGATCTTTATTGATTGGAATTTTTCCATATGATGGGAATAAGGATACAACTTTCTTTTCCTCCAAATAGTAAATTGATCTTCTTAATATCATTTACTATATATTCCATTTATTCCCAGGGATTTTATACCAAGTTTCCCTATATGCATGGATTTGTCTCTGAATTGTTCAGTGCATTGGTTTGTCAGTTCCTGTATCAGTATCATATTGTTTTAATTATTATGGCTTTTCATATGTTTTATTATTTGGCAGGGCTGGTTTTCATTTCATCACTCACCTCTCCCAAAACCCAAAGTCCCATTTTGCTCTTCTTTATCAAAATTGTTTGATACTCATGGATTTGATTTCTGTGCACATTTTAGAATCACTTTAACAAGTTCTCCCCAAGCCCTGCTATGATTTGGTTGGGACAGCATTTAGGTTAGTGATATGGGGAGAAATTGACTTCCTTGTTATGTTAGGAGCCCCATCCATGAATATGTCTCTTCACTTTCTGAGGTGTTCATTTATGTACTTTATATGCTATGGTTTTTATTACTATTATAAATGGCTAGCAATGTTCAATTATTTTCTGATTATTAGGAGCATAGAATTTAGAATCATAAATCCTCAGTTCAAGTCCTGGTTCTGTCTGGGTAAGTCTGGACAGTTGCTAACCTCCCTCTGCCTCCATTTTCTCATAGTTAAGATGGAGATAATAACATCATTCAAGAGTTGTGGTGGCAAATCAGGTAGAATATCCCCTAGCCGCGTAAGTCATTTGGTTGCAGGATGGAAGGATGATGGGGTAGTTACTGCAACTGTAACCCCAAGATCGGGGTCTGAGCAGTGAATCCTGTAGAGAAGAGGGAGTGGGAGGACAGAGGTGAGGTGGGGGTGGGGAGGGATGAGGTTGGACAGACTGGGAAGTAACGTGATCCCGGCAGGGTGCAGGTGTGTGTAGTTTTGAGGAGACATTGAAGAAGTCACAAATGTGGTCTCATACTATGGGTTTTAGATTGCAAGTGATTGCAACTGAAATTGCAAAAAATTGTTGAACAATTTTTGAGTTTATAAAATTGAGACTTGAGTTGAAACCATCTGTCCAGAAGAGGGACTTGAGAGCCTACAGGGAGCACCAGAAGGAAGTACCTAGAAGCGATGTATTATTATGGCAGTGCTCTCAGGAAGAGCGTGAGACCACATTTGCGACTTCCTTCAGTGCGTGATGCCCAGGATGCTATTGTAGCTCCTTTTTGTTTTAGCCAATCCGGGCTCCTGGTAGACCCCCAACAGCACCTCAGAACATTGCGGAGCTTGCTGGGCTCTACGCCAGGACTGCGATGCCAGGGGCCTTCCTCTCCTGAACACGACTTCAGCCCAGCAGTCGGGGCTCACCTCCAGCAGCCCTCTGGGAGAGGGTTAATCTATAAGATTAACTTAATTATATGATTAAGATTATAATCATATAATCTTCTAAGATTATATGAGATAGCATGGAAAGGGCCTACCTAGTAGAGCATCAGTTCCACCTTCCCATCCACCCTGTCCATGCCCTCAATGATTTCTCTTTTCTCTTTCTTTCTTTTTTTTTTTTAAAGATTTTATTTATTTGATAGAGAGAGACACAGTGAGAGAGGGAACACAAGCAGGGGGAGTGGGAGAGGGAGAAGCAGGCTTCCCGCTAAGCAAGGAGCCCCATGCGGGGCTCGATGAGGGGGTCGATGGGGGGGCTCGATGGGGGGGCTCGATGGGGGGCTCGATGCGGGGCTCGATCCCAGGACCCTGAGATCATGACCTGAGCCGAAGGCAGACGCTTAACGACTGAGCCACCCAGGCGCCCGATTTCTCTTTTCTCTTTCAAGCACCCTGCCCTTATCGCTCACTTGCTTTACCATAAACTCTTCTCTTCACAGATGTCTGTTCTCACTCCCCAACTGACCTAAAGCGAATGACGTGGGAACAGAGTCCACGTCTCCTCGCTGGGCATTGCCTGTAATGCTCTGCACAGAAACGCCGCGGTCCGTCCACCCGTGGCGCCGTGGACAGCCCGGAGAAAGGAGAGAACCCGCTCTCGGGGCTTGGGCAGCGCGGGTAAAAGAAAGAGAGCACGTGGGAACGAGGCTGCCTCACTCCTACGCTCCTGGCGGTCCTGGCACTACAGAAATGGCTGTGCAGTCACAATGGACAGGGCACTTGAAACGGTCTTTTGGGTTGATGGGCGGTGGGGGACAGACCTAGGTCTGAAAATTAGGAGGAAAGGGGAAAGGAAGAAAGCTCTTGGCTGAGCACGGGCCTCTGAGTTTTCGGTCCTGCCTTACTCTAAAAAGCACCCTCAGTCTTCTCCTTAATAGAGAAGTGAAATCTTCTGCATTTCCTGCTGCTTCCTCACGGAAGGTTTCACATCTCCTTTGGCTGCCCGAGCAGAGACCAGACAGGGAACTCCGTGTGGCCTCGGCTAGCTGGCGGGCGCCACCCCCGCGCGGGCACGGGACCTCACCGCCGCCGTTCCTGCGCCCGCCAGGCGAGCCTTGTAGACGGGGAGAAGGATCCTGGCTCCCGCGAGGTCAGGCTCACCGCCCACCTGGGCCGAGGAGGAAGAACGTCAGGGGGAAGTGCGCGTGCGAGTGGGGAAGAGTTCACATGGTTTTGAAACTGTCAAAAGAGAAAGCAAGGAGACGCTGGTTCTAAGAACAGAAGGAATTCTGAGAACAGGGAAACAAAGACTTGGATGGTCCAGTGGCTTTTCCCTTTTTCTGCCTCTCAGTGGGGGGCACCACTGGCTACTTTTATGTGGGTCATCTCAGCCCCAGGATGTAGTGAGTGTGTGGGCTTGCTCGTGCGCGTGCACCAGTGTGTGTCTGTGTGTGAATCTTTGGAGCTGTTTTCAAAACTGTAAAAGGAGGACGCTGAACAGATCTTTTAAGATTATATGAGATAGCATGGAAAGGGTCTACCTAGTGTAGTATCAGTTCCAAAGTAGAAGCTCAACAAATTTTGGACTCACCGCCCCCATTTTCTGTCCATTCCCGCTCACCTGATGGCTCATTAGAGGAGGTAGGATGTAGAAACATCTTATAATGAAGGTGGGGTTGAGAGCGGGGGTTGCTGGGAAACACAACTTCAGTTAATCTCAATTAGTTACACAAATCTTTTGTTTCTGATATTCATCTTTCTATTCATTTTTGGTACATGCTTCTTTTCTCTTCATAAGTATCAACTCTCCGGGGGTTGGGGGCTTTGGGGGAGGACAGGTAAGTGTGGTGTCAAGGGGCTCTCTCCTAATCCTCTCTCATTTAGCTCACTACTAAATCAAATCCAAAAGCTTGCAGAAACTAATGCGGGGAGACGCAGCCCTGCAGCCACTGGGAACAGAGAGAAGCCAATTTCAGGTTTTAAATTTGTGATGGAAAAAGCCACCAACTGTATAGTTCACAATGGGATAGGAGAATGAATTGCCATTTAAAATCTGCCTTTTCCAGGGGAAGTAAAGGAGGGAAGTTTTATCTTATTTTTTCTAGTGGCATCATAATGCAGGGACCTGCTCTGGGACAGGTAGGACCAGTGGGAGAAACACACAGGAGAGTGTTGAGTTTGGGGGAGGCAGGCGAGCTTTGGGAACTGGTCCATTACCAGCTATTTATCAAGGGTTTAAGTGGCGTTGTCCTGCGGTCTACCTTGAGACGGCTCAGAGTAGTTGAGGGTAGGATTTCCTAGCTCCAAATAGCAGGAAGGACGAAAGGCAGCTCTGCAAGAAGCAATGGAATCCCAGGGAGAGATTTTCCAGTCTCTGCCTCTGACCTCTAAAGTGGAACTGCTTCCCTTATTCTGCAGTCGCGTTTTGAGGCCAGATAACCCTGCACTCTCCCTGTGCCTCCTTCCATCTTAACATCCCTGTCTCTGCCACCTGCTCCGGAAGGGCCTTTCAGCTCCCGCCTCCATCTCCCGGGTGACAGGACAGACCAAGGGTTACGCAATATCTTTCTAAGTAACCTCCCTCTAAGGGTCAAGAAAAGTTACCTAGTCTCAGTCTTGGAAGGATATTGAAGGGAAACAGTTAAACCAGTGGGCAGCCCAGGCTACATATGTTCTGGGAATATTGGCATTATTCTCTCCAGTGATCTAAGGAAATCCACCTACAGACTGATCTTTCCTACAGGGAAAGAGTTAAGAGACATGGTTGTTTAAAGCCTAGGGCAGGATAAGATTCACCTGGTAACTGATGATGCTGCGCTGAAGCACTCAGTGATTTGCCTCCGTATTTGTCCCCGCCCATCTAAGCAATCTGACAACTGTTAGTTTGGGACGGGTTTAGAAGAGCTGGTAGGAACCGGCTAGGGGCTGGGTGGCTCCAGACCACTCCTTTAGTGGGGACAAAGGAGCTGGGGTTATACTCTCAGGGTCTGGACATCACCTACCCAGGCTGGGGCTGCAGGAGCAGGCGAGGACCCAGGGCCCCTGGAAGAATTGGTCCAGGGGACTGAATTCCTGGCGTGTCCCCAGAGCAGAGCATGACCACACTCCTGCCATTGCTGCTGGGCCTCAGCCTGGGCTCCATCGTAGCAGGTAAGGGTTTCTGGCCTGGGACCCTCCCTCCCTTCCTCTGCTCCTTTGGAGCAAGGGAGTCACTTGGATCTGGACACCACAGACGAGTTTGTCTCCCTGGTATATGCTCCGGTAGTACTTTGTACCTTTGTATCTTTGTAGCAATTTTAAGATAATTGAACTGTGTAATTATTTGTGTAATGTATATCTTTTGCTGGAGTGTAGGCAACGGCAATATCTGTCTTGTTTACTGCTGCATCCTCAGCTCCTAGCACAGTGCCTGGCATATATGTGTGTGTGCTTCATAAATATATGTAGAGTGAATATTTAATAATACATCCAGCCAACAAAGCTGGCTCTTTCCCTTGACCCCTTTTCTCTCTCAATAATTTGCCTTACTGAGGTCTTGTTCTGGGTAAATTGTTGTGTTTAAACTAGCAAATAATTCCTGTTCCCATACTTAGTCTCATAAAGAGGATACGGCATCTAAAAACTTTTCTGCTGCTACCATCTGTTCCCTTAATCGGTGCTCTCAGAGACTTCAGTACACGAGCTTGGTCTGTAGATGCTGCCTGAGGCAGGAAAGCTACACCCCACTCACTGGGTGTAACTGGGGCAGGAACTGGGGCTTGGGCTCCCTGCAGAGGTCTCTGAGCTGCCCCCTTTCTCTGGTTCCTGTAGGTGGCTTTATAGCCCATGTGGAAAGCACCTGTCTGTTGGATGATGATGGGACTCCAAAGGATTTCACATATTGTGTCTCCTTCAACAAGGATTTGCTGACGTGCTGGGATCCAGAGGAGGCCAAAATGGCCCCTTGTGAATTTGGCGCACTGAATGTTTTGGCCAAGTACCTCTCAGAATACCTCAACCAACAGGAATCCCTGCTCCAGCGCTTGTCTAATGGGCTTCAGGACTGTGCCACACATACCCAGTCTTTCTGGGGATCACTGACCCACCGGACACGTAAGAAGAGAGGGCCACAAAGGGACTATTGTGAAGCATAGTTAGGAGAGGTGAGGCCAGGGAGAATCCCTCAATCCCTCCATAGGCAGGAGGTTGGAGATTTGGGCAGGAAAGAAGCAAAAAATGTGTGGACCTGGAATGTAGAAAGAGTGAGTGTGGACCCTCAAAGGGTTGTTGATGGGGGTCGAACAGGAGCAAAGAAGGGGAGGTGATGTTTGAGGCCAATGGGGTAAGAGAGTAAGCAGGCTTTGCATCTATTCAGGGCATCTCAGGATGCAGAGTCAAGTTCAACCAGGAATGTGTCAGAATAACCAGAATGCCTTTTCCCAAAGTGCTCATGCCTCTTTATCATAGGTTCTGATGTTCAAGGTCTGGGATGGGCCCAGGCATGGGAATATTTAGAAAGCCTCCCAGGGGATTTCAATGTGCTTTCTTGCTGCAAAGCCCTTGCACTGAGAATGACTTGAGATTGGTAAAAACAAAACAAAACAAAACAAAAACATGGAGATCTCCATAAGACAGAGTAATATGTCTTAAGACGTTATTTTGAACCACTTTTCTCAGAATTGCCTGGGGAAGGTGCTTGTTAAAAATATAAGCCCTTCATTGCCACTACAGATCCTCTCAGTGAAAATATTTGGGGATGCAATCTAGGGAACCTGCATTTTAACACAATTTCTTGGATTTTTTATTTAAGATTTTGTTTGAAAAGCACCAAGGTGGAGGTAAGTAGGAGGGTCACCTAGGAGAATAAGCTAATAGAGAATGACGATATTAACAATCTCATTATTTCGGATTACGTTAATCCAAATTTAAGAGAGTTAGATCTGAGTTAGGCTCGTTTCCTTAAACTATCCAAGGGAAAAATGTTGCTTGATTCAGCCACTTAGTTTGTTAAATTAGATTTGAGGGCAGACATTTTTTCCTACCTTTACAAACCCCAACCTACAACTCTTGACAACTGTTAGCTTGTATACTTGAAGTAAATACAGCGACTTCTGAAACAGCTTGCAGTTCAGACCTGGCTTCTACTTAATGCGATCAACCGTAATTTTGGAACAGGAAAGAAGGGAAAGAGCAGTGAAGGAATGGGAGGAAATAAAGAGCAAAGCAGGAGTAAGTCTAACTCCTCTTTCTCAAAGGGGTGTATGGAGGCACGGAGTAGGGGTGGGGAGGGTTGGTTGGCAAAGGCCACGAAGAGTTGAAGCTGGCAAGAAACCAGGTTGGAGAAAAAGCCAGAATGGTGCCATTTTCATGACCACGTTTTCCTCTTATGCAGGGCCACCAACTGTGCAAGTAGCCAAAACCACTCCTTTTAACACGAAGGAGCGTGTGATGCTGGCCTGCTACGTGTGGGGCTTCTATCCAGCTGATGTGACCATCTCGTGGAGGAAGAACGGGCAGCCTGTCCCTCCTCACAGTAGTGCCCCTAAGATGGCCCAGCCCAATGGAGACTGGACATATCAGACCGTCTCCTATTTAGCTATAACCCCCTCTTATGGGGACACTTACACCTGTGTGGTGGAGCACATCGGGGCTCCTGAGCCCGTCTCTGAGGACTGGAGTAAGTGCACGGCGGGTGGGAGGAATTAGGGTTGCAGCAGAGAGCTACTGCGAGTGGGTGGTTGAAAAGGGACAGCAACGTCTTGGCACAGGGAGTGACGTGTGGACAGATCCACGGAATATAGCAGGGAGGAAGATGCTGAGAATGAGCAGCCAGCCTGGAGGAACTGGTGGAGGGTTGATGACGACCAGAGATGGGGCAATGGGTGGTTGATGTTGTGTGTCTGAGGGTGGCAGGGGAGCAGAATGGCTATCCTGAAAAGAGGATGTGGTTTGGTGACCATGTTTTCACAACAACCAAAATTTGTGATGCAACATTTTAGGATCCTCAGATTTCAACTATTCTGTTGTCTGGTCAGGAATGGGAATTGAAGGCATAAAAAAGGTTTCAGAAGAAACGGGACTTTCTTTTGGTGTGGGGGCAGTAGTGCATTTGGGCCACTCTGTCGGGGAAGAAAAAGCCTGGCTGACAAACACTTTGGTTTACATGCTTGGGGGCTAATGAACAAGGAACCAATGACCACTGTTTGAACCCCAGGATTGGAAGTAGTTAAATGTACCAAGAGATTTGGTACACAGATCTGGGGAAAGAGAAGAGGGAACAATGAGGAAGAGGAGGAGAATCTATGAAGGGCTAGGCAACAGAATCCCAGACTGGCTGCTGAGACTGGGCTCCCCCTCTGGGGAGTGCTGTCTTGTGGGGCAGCTGAGAAAGGTATGAAGAGCAGAGGGAGGAACCCACAGGCGCACCGGAACTCTCCTGGGAAAATCTCCTCCCCAGCATGCACCAGAGCTTCCTTTGGTGATGGAATGTTCATTTTAGCATGGGGGAAGGAATCCAGGTGGGGTGGGATTCAGAGTACAATGGGTTTCAGGAAGTGGGAGCTATGGAGTGGGTTGGAGACAGGTTCTGGAAATCTGGATGTAGACAGGAGGAGATACCTCAGTAGTCAGACAACGCATGGAATGGGATCATTGAGAGTTAAGAAAGATGGAAGGACATTTTAATAGACAGGTAGAGCACATAAGGGAGTAAACATTGTCACTATGGGGTAAATGGAGAGGGGAATGAGAAATCCTTTATTCTTTGGTGAGGTCACCTTCAGGGTGAAGGAAGGAAAAAAGATGCCTTGAGAGCCCCACTGTATTAGAGAGGACCTAGAAGCTAGGGTGCTAACTCTCGTGAGGGGGTCCCCCAGGGCTACTCTAGGAGTAGAGAGCTACGGGATGGGGATTTTTGAGGAAAGTCTGTCTCCTTGGGTGTAGGTTGGTGTGCGCTAGGCCCTTGACATTGGGATAAAGCACCTTTGAACCTGCTAGGTGGAGGTCACACTAAATTATGTTGCTCTGGCAATGAGCGACAGATCGGTTCTAGTAAGTTTCTATTTTTGCAGCACATGGGCTGTCCCCGATGCAGATAGTGAAGGTTTCTGTGTCTGCAGTGACTCTGGGCCTGGGCTTCATCATTTTCTCTCTTGGTTTGCTCAGCTGGCGGAGAGCTGGCTCGTCTGGTGAGTGCCGCCCCTGACCTCCTGTTGCCAATCTCACTCCCAATTTCTGTTCACTTTCTATTCGTGACTGGTTTTCCCATTGCTACCTCATTTGCTGTGAGTAACACCAGATACTTTTATCTATAGACTGTCCTCTAATCAGATATTTTCTTCTCCTAGGCTACATTTTTCTCCCTGGGGACAGTTATCCAGAAGGTAACATCTCTGTTGGTCTGTTTGCCTTCTGGTCCTTTGGAGGGGTGTGAGATCTCGGGAGTCAGCGTTGGGCTCAGCTAATGGTGCTTATAGTGGGGGTGAGGGTCCACCAGGATGTAGCCAAGAGCATAATTTAAACTGCCATTGTTGGGATTAGGAGCAGGAAAGAGGAGCACCTACACACCCTTCTTCTATCCAGTGGAGCATCTATGGGGAGATGACTGAAAGTGGCTTTGTAGTATTAGTCCTTGGTGGTCTAGAATTTTTGATATCACTGTATTAAGGGCTCTGGCATGGATGGTTATAGAAACAGAGGATGGGGTCAAGTTGGTTTGAAGCCTTATTATTTCCTTTTTATTTCTTCTGCAGGTCAACACGTCAGTTAGAGGTGGAGTCCTACACCTTCTACCTCAAGTGTGAAGATTCAAACTCTTAGTGATGCTGCTGTGTTCCCCCACCATCCTCAGACCCTACAAATTTTCTTGCATCCTATGGTTTCTCCATCCAGATCTTTGAACTTCCCAGCCGACCCCATGTACACCTTAGCAAGTTGGGGGAACTCATTCCTGGGAATATTCTGTAATCAAGTTGTTGTCCAAGGCTATATTTCTGGGTCAAATATCATCTGGGGAGGGAGGTTAAAGGCCTTTCTGGAGGCCACACTGTGCCACAGGGGCCAGTGAGTTGCTGGCGGTCATCTCTGAGGAATAAACTCTGGTCGAAATACTGTTTTTCTATGCTTCTTCCTGAGGCCCTGGGGAGGGACCATGAGCAGAGTTATGGTTGGGGTTACTTCTCTCCTACTTGAGTGGAGGAGTCAGCACGTCCTTCCGATTATTCCCTCTAGGCATGACAGAATTGGGGGCAGTCTTCTGATCTATAATTCGTAAGAAGAAATTAAACTACGGTTGAATGGAGTCACAGAATCAGGAAGAGGTAGGGAATTGACAGATTACTTACTTCATAAGGGGTCTTAGGAAGATTGAGTGCGTTCATACTTGCAGATGGCTAAGAACATTGCTGGCACATGCTGAGCCCATAAGAGAGATGTTAGTTATAACTTGTTACTCAACTTTCTGGGCCAGGCATTGGACCAGGTACTCTACATGCGTTATTTCGTTGATCGTCATCACAACCCTGATGCAGATCCTCAGATAGGACTCAGGGGGGCAGAGCTTAACTTCAGATGGGAGTTCTGGGCAGTTACTTCTTCCAAACCCTAAGTGGGGAAGAGCTCAAGTGCTTATTATGACCTAGGTGCTGGGCTAAGTGCTTTGTATTTGTATCTTATTTACTTCTTACAATAATCCCAGGAGGAAAAGATTGTCTCCTTCCATGTCATGGGTGAAGAAAGCAAGATTCAGAGTGTGAATAACTTGTCCAAGATCACAACAAATTTTCTATAGGATGTTTGTCTACCTTAGCTGGACATAGATAGATGGCTTTATCCAGAGGATCCTCAAGCTGGGGAACACACCCTCTTCAGAGCCACACTTTCATTCCCTTTTACCCCCAACCCAAGGGCCATCCACTGTTGGGGTACAGATTTCTCACTGTAGAAGGGAGGTGCATTTTGTTTCCGGTGAGGGGCGACACCTGCTGGACACAGAAAACTGGGCAGTGGCATAGTTTTTGGAATTAGAGTTGGACACTAGACTTCGGGCAAGGAAAAGAAACCAGAAGTGAAGACAAGTACTGAAGCAGCTTAGCCTAACGGGATATTGTGGAGGGAGAACAAGGGCTACGGATGCATATTTGCATGTGTGTGTCTACGTGGGAATACTTAAGACCAGAATCTGATGAGCTGGAGGAAGAGGCAGAAGACAGACTGCAGAACCTTCTTGTGTGCTGCTTTCCATGAATGTGTGTGTTTCCGGGTGGGTGTGAGGGGTGGTCATGGGGGCTAGAACCCTTCATCCTTGGTCTGTTTCTGTGCTGATGGGAGCCTACAGAGGAATGGGGGAAGCACTGGTCTTACGGACGTGATGTCCAAAGTAGGTGCTCAGGGTTTGTCCAACCAGTGAATTGATCTCTTACACATTCATGGTTTCCCCAAGAAGGATCCTTGTAATCAGGGCATTTGTTCTGGAGGAGTTTCCTGGAGAAGTCAATGGGAGGGGAAAGTGCTCATGAATTTAAAACGGTTATTCTCTGAGCAAGGCCATATAAGGTCGGAAGAGGGAAAGTGCTGTGCTCTGTGCTAATTGGCAAATGTAGGCTCAGAAATTAATGTCTAGAAGTTTTATCAGTTTTATATTTTTTTTGCATTTATATATAGCATTTAATGAATAAGCTTGTGTATCATGTAAATAATCTTCCACCTCTGCCTGACTTAATTTAAAAACTTGCTGTTTAAAGTCTTAATGTTGTTTCATTTTCGTTTTTCCATTCATGGTTTTTGTTTTTGTTTGGTTCACAAAGCAAATTCCTTTTGAAGTGCTAGTCTGGTCTGGGGGTAGGGCTTTGGGTGGTGTCTCTGCCTGGCTGATTTTGAGGAAGCTGCACATCCAAAGGGTCTGGGTCTGGCCACAGCAGTGGGAATCAAAGTGACAAGACCCCCAGGGGAAGGAAGGAGAGAGTCAGCTAATTGGATAGCTTCCAGTCCTCCTCTGGAGATTCCTGGCAGGCTTTTCTCTGCCCTAACTTTGTGTGTTTTTGTTTTAAAGGGAAGGCTGTCCCTTTCCAGATAAGGAGTAGGAAAAAGTGCCACGTAGGTCTCCTGGGATCCAGGAAAACAGATTAGGGAGAAAAGGGAGGAAATACACGTCCTTACATGGGGTGATGAGATGTGCTTGGATGGAAAGAAGTGGGGTAATGGTGGGCCAGCTCCAGGACTGTGTGAGGAGAGTAGAATGTTAAACATAATCAAAGGCCAAAAAGAGGTGTGTGTGTGTGTGTGTGTGTGAGGGGGTGGGGTGGGGGGGAGAGGAAGTTAGGCTTTTGGGTTATATCTAATCCAGGTGGTACAACACATGGTCTCTCCTTTCAATGTTTTGCTCATTTTAAAAGCTAAACTTGGAGATGGAATCGACTTTAAAGGTCATCTAGTCCAACTGTCCACCCATAAAAGGGCTGGGTCTGTGTTCACGAGGGCATGCACGATGCAGGGAGTCCCTTCAACCCTTGGGGCAGATACCAATACTTTAGAGAACTGTGTTGACCTCAAGTTTGAGGTTCTTCTTTTGATATGATTTCAACTATGTATGGGGTCTATAAGAACCCCCAACAAATGAATAAACAAACAAAAAGCTGAATCAGACCTATAAACAAACGAGAACAAATTTACGGTTGCCAGAGGGAAGGGGGCGGAGGGTTGGGCAACATGGGTGAAGGGGAGTGGGAGACCCAGGCTTCCAGTTACGGAACAAATGAGTCACAGGAATAAAAGGCACAGCGTGAGGAATATAGTCAATGATATGGTAATAGCGTTGTGTGGTGACAGATGGGAGCTACGCTTGTGGTGAGGACAGCATAAAGTAGAGAGAAGTTGAATCACTAGGTTGTACACCTGAAACTAATGTAACACTGCGTGTCAACTATACTCAGATTAAAAAAAATAAAGACAATGGGAATAAAACTCAAATACACCATTGGAGGGTGTATCCTCAGCGCTTTTTTTCCTGAGTGACAACATGCTCCTGTGTTCCAGCTTCTCTGTTTGCTTACTCATGTACACAGTCATGTGAAAAGATCAGAAAAAGCTTGGTATTTAATCTCCATGTTTATTTAGGAAAATTACTTTTGCCAGGCCAGTCCCCAGGGGCTGCAGAGAGTGGAAAGACCCCAAACCCAAAAAGATTGCTCCCCGAGGCGGGGGGACTCACCGGCTCTCCTGACCCTTCCTCTCCCATGTTTCCACTACAAATGAGTTTCCAAGAGCCCTTGGCCAGACTGGCCAGATGCAGGGCATGAAGAAAGAAATGACTTTCATTGTCCCAGGGCCTCAACAGAAAACAGATGACACACTCAAAACAGGATAGTTCAAGGGGAGTCTATTTACAAGGAAGTATTTCCAAAGAAGTAGGTGGGGGATAGCCCCGTGTAACCTGGGGGTAGCAGCAGCTGACCTGTGACTACCCGAGGTCCCAAGAGGCAAGGGACTGGAGGGGTTATCAGAATTCAGAAGGAGCCAGTCCTACAGTGTCACTAGCTTGCCCGCAACAGTGCCCTTCAGTCAAGGGACACAGCCAGTCTAAAGTGACCTTGTGAGGGAACCAAAGGAGTAAAGACCCTGACCTCGAGCTCCGCCTCCCTCTGTTCTCAGAGCAAGGCTGAAAGGAAGGGCAAGCCAAGGAGCTTGGGAACCTGTGATGTCCTATAGGCCAGCACTTGGGACAAAACCCAGGGTGGAGAAATGTGGATCTAGAAGGACAGATGTAGGACAGTTGGCGAATTCATAACACGAAAGAAAGAAACCAAAGTTGGGCCAGTGGTGGTGGTGGTGGGGGTGGAAAGATGCAAAACTTGGGCTTCCTTTGGCCTGGGGTGGGGACAAGACCTCAGTAATAACAGAAGACTGTCATTTCCTGCTCAGGGACCTGAGAGAATACTCCTTTCTGGTCTCCCCTGCTCTAGCCCAAGGCTTATGTAACTCTTTGTGGATCTTTATTTTTTCCAGACATATTGTACTGTAAGTTTTTTGAGTTCCTCAGAATTAAAGCTGAACCTTGCCTGAGGTTATACTGCGCTTATTGAGCAGTTTGGGGATAACTGACTTCTTTTTATTATTAAGTCATCCCATGCAAAAAACAGAGGGTATTTCTCCATCTATTCAAATCATCTTCTTTGTTCTTTATTATGCTTTTTAAAATTCACTTTTTCATCGTGGTCCTGTGCATGCTCAGTTAATTCTTTGACATTTTACAGACTTTGTTGTCATTATGATTGATTATCTTATTGTAATTTTATTTTCAAATCAGTTATTTCTGGTGTAGAGAAGAGTAACCAATATTTAAACAAATGGAGTAAAAAAAGAACAACATTTACCATCTTAACCATTTGGAAGTGTATATTTCAGTAACACTAAGTACCTTCACACTGCTGTGCAGCAAATCTCCCAAACTTTCTCATTATGCAAAACTGAATTTCAGTACCCATTAAACAACAACTCCCCATTTCCCTTTCTCCTCAGCCCTGGTCACCACCATATTACTTTCTGTTTCTATGAATTTGACTACGTTAGTTACTTAATGTAAGTGCAATCATACAGTATTTGTCGTTTTGTGACTGCCTTATTTCACTCAGCATAATGTCCTTAAAGTTTATCCATGTTGTAGCATGGATCAGGATTTCCTTCCCTTTTTAAGGCCAAATAACTGTTCCATTGTATGGATATCCCACATCTTGTTTATGCATTCATCCATCAATGGACATTTGGGTGGCTTCTACCTCTTGGCTTTTGTGAATGATGCTTCTGTGAACATGGGTGTGCAAATATCTGTTCAAGTACCTACTTTTTTTCCCCTTGATATTAGCCATCCTAATGGGTGTGAAGTGATATTTCATTGTGGTTTTGATTTGCATTTCTCTAATGATTAGTGATGTTGAACATCTTTTTATATGCTGGTCAGCCATTTGCATATCACCTTTAGAGAAATCCTATTCACGTCATTTGCCCATTTTTAAATTACTTTTGTGTGTGGTTTTATTTGTTGCTGCTGCTGAGTTGTAGGAGTCCTTTATATGTTCTGGCTATTAACACCTTATAATATATGTAA